AATAGATACTCAAGGCTGACCAGGAGAACCCAACTGTCTGGAAATTCAAACGGATTGCCGGACATCAGGGACCACTTCACCCGGCACATGTGATATATATGTGCACAGGGAGTATTTGAAAACGACGTATTTTTCGTACTAAGGCCAGGTATTCATTCACGGATGATGTAAGCGACACTGGAGTATTTGAAAATCAAATACTACCTCTAAAGTAACCCGGAAGCGAAGGTATATCAGCCAATCAAAACTAAGGTGTCGCTTACAAACTAAGCAAATGTGGAGGGAAAACCTTTTAAGCCAATGACAATCTTTTTCTTCTCCAACAATTAAAAACACTAAAAACCAAAGAACAACTGCGGTCTAGTTAGTCCATTGTCCATAAAATGCAAAACATTTTTGTCGCTCCTGCCTTGATATGGTTTGGCATTCAACCAGCAATAATCCGTCGCCGTCGCTTGAGCAACTGCAAACTTATCAAGCCATCTCTGAGAAGAATCCATCAAGCAGAAGAGAAATGGCGTCGCTCCAGGTAAAGTTGATTGTGATATGTTATGATTGTCAATCATGACCATGACAGTGGTCGTCCCCATTGCTTGACTACTGCTTTACCCTACAATACACCGTTGTCGTCGCTTGATTATCAGTACAGACTTATCAATCCATCTCTGGGGAGAATCCATCTAGCAGAAGAGAAATGGTGTCGCTCAAGGTAACGTTGATTGTGATATGCTGCGATTGTCAATTATGACCATGACAGTGTTCGCCATCGGTTGCATTACACTGTTGTTGTTGCTTGATTATTACAGACTCATCAAGCCATCTCTGAGAACAATCCATCCAGCAGAAGTGAAATGGTGTCGCTCAACAAGGTAAGTTTGATTGTTGGATGTTTACATCGTGCATCATGTTGATGAAAGAAGTCGCTCATGTCATGATATGATTTTGTTGCATTCAACCAACAATACACCATTGTTGTTGCTTGATTGCTGAAGACTTATCAAATCAACCAAACAGAAGAGAAATGAAGTATGTCAAGGTAAGTTTGACTGTCTGATGTTGCAATTGTGAATCATGAAGATGAGGACAGTGGTCATCAATACTCAACTACTTCACCCAACAATACACCATTGTCGTTGCTTGATTACTACAGACTTAGTATCAAGCCATCTCTGAAGAGAATCGATCCAGAAGAAAAGAAATGGTGTCCCTCAAGGTAAGTTTGATTGTTGAAGGTTGCGATTTGCATTCATGACCATGACAGTGGTCGCTATTGCTTGACTACTTTACCCAACAATACATTGTCGTTGTTGCTTGATTACTACATACTTATCAAGCCATCTCTGAGAAGACTCCATCCAGCAGAAGAGAATTGGCGTCGCTCCAGGTAAGGTTGATTGTGATATGTTGTGATCGTCAACCATGTTGATGAAACAAGTTGCTCATGTCTTGATATTACACAGTCCTCGTTGCTTGATTACTACAGACTCATCAAGTTGTTGTTGCTTGATTATTACAGACTTATCAAGGCATCTCTGAGAACAATCCATCCAGCAGAAGTGAAATGGCGTTGCTCAACAACACAAGTTTGATTATTGGATGCTTCCATTGTGCATCATGTTGATGAAACAAGTCGCTCATGCCTTGATATGGTTTGCATTCAACCAATAATACACTGGCAGCGTCACTTGATTACTACAGACTTATCAAGCCATTTCTCGGGCGAATCCATCAAACAAAAGAGAAATGGCGTCGCTCTAGGTGTGTTTAATTGTTGTATGTTGCGTTTGTCAAGGAGGATGGTCACAGTGGTCTCCATTTCTTGACTACTTTACCCAAGAATACACCCTCGTTGTTGCTTGATTACTAGGACAGACTTATCATTCCTCATAGCTTCTAATTCCATACAAAACAAAATTTTAAAAAAAGCTGAGCACCAGCATATTAGTACTAAGAATGAACAAAGTTCTGTAGCAAATAATGGATCTTCTTATTTTGCTTTTGAAAGATTATCAAATGTCTCCTGTTCTTTAGTCATTTTTTGTTTCTAGGGTGGCCCTCCATGAAAGAAATCAGGTAAGTGTCCGGCAAAGGGTTTCCAAGATAGTACTAGCATGATACTACTACAGCCAGCCTTGGCGTGTACGACTGGCGATACCTTGTTGATGAAGCTGATAATTTGTCATCATCACTTGATGCACCAATTCCGTAGTCCCCAATTCCATTTGCAGATCTGTCATCATCCTCGTCATATTTCACTTCCCAAGCATTCCCACTTGTAAAATCAACAGGGCCTTGGTTTGGGACAAATTTTCCTTTTGGCATTGACGGGTGGTTAAGGACCTCTGCCATCAGTTCTTTTGAAATCTTGAAAATCGCTTCCTCCATAGGGTGCGGTGACTTTGCAGAGGATGGATCATTTTGATGTTGCCGTGAGAGGAAGTACTCATGGCTTCTCTTAGCTTTCTCCTCCTTTGCAGTTTGAAGTTTCTTTGACTTCCGGTCGCCTCCAGCCTTATGGTTGATTTTTTGTTCTTACTTCCTTTTGGACGGCCCATGTTGATGTTGACACAAATGAAAAGACGAAAATTCCAAAATTCACAACTTTCAAAATAAAACTGTTGGTCGTTATGTCCGTTATTTGTTGTTACGACCATTTCAAATATATTTTTGATCCAGAAAGTGAGATTTGTAAGCGACACCTTGGTTGTGTAGACGTGCGTAGAATCTGTACTGTCGCTCACAAAAAAAATCCGCACATATTTATCATACCTGCCCTTCACCCAAGTCATCCACTGTACATAGGATCCAAGTACAATGTGACTATGGAATGGGAGAATGGGGAGATCACTCCTGAGCCACTGAGTGTCATAGCCAAAGATGACCCAGTTGTCTGTGCTATCTATGCTAGAGATAATAACTTATTAGACCTTGATGGTTGGAAACGTTTTAAATCTATAGCTAATAGGCAAAAGAAGCTCCTGAGAATGGTAAATCAGGCCAAGCTTTGATCGTTCCGTACTGCGCCCAGGTACATGTATGGATTTGAAATCCCGAAGGACTACAATGATGCTGCTCTTTGTTTGGATCAAATCCATGGCAATACCAAGTGGCAAGACTGTACAAAGTTGGAAATGGACCAACTTGCCAAACATAAAGTGTTTGTAGATATTGGCAAGGGAACTCCAATTCCAAAGGGATTCCAAAAGATCCGAGTTCACCTTGTGTACGCCTGCAAGCATGATGACAGACACAAAGCCCGACTCATGGCAGATGGTCACCTGACTTTGGTACCCGTCGATAGTGTATACTCCGGCGTGGTTTCCATTAGAGGCCTGAAGCTAATGATCTTCCTTGCCAAACTAAACGACCTGGACCTATGGGCTACAGATATTGGTAATGCCTGCCTAGAAGCTTATACTAGTGAGAGAGTAGCTATTGTAGTAGGACCAGAGTTTGGGGAGCTAGAAGGACACACACTTCTTGTCTCTAGAGCTCTCTACGGACTTTGCTTGAGCGGAAAAATGTGGCATCAAAGATTTTTGGCATGTCTAGAGGAAGAAGGATTCTTCCCTTGCAAGGCCGAGCCAGATATATCTGGATGCGCCCCACTCCCAATGGAAAGTCGTATGAGTACGTTGGCGTCTACGTTGACGACCTTGCACTGGCAATGCGAGACCCCAAGTCATTCCTCTAGATAAATTAACCAATGAGTATAAATTTAAACTGGACCACTAGAATTCCATCTAGGATGTGATTTCTTTCAAGACGAACAAGGCGTGCTTTGCATGTCCCCTCGGAGATACATCAATTGAATGGTAGATACGTACCAACGAATGTTTGGCCAAAAGCCAAAGACCAATGTGACGTCACCCCTTGAAAAGGGAGACCACCCCGAATGTGACACATCCGAACTTCTGGATGAGGAAGGTGACACTCGGTACAAGTCATTGGTTGGTCAACTTCAATGGGCTACCTCTCTTGGACACCTGGACATAGCAACCGCAGTTATGACCATGTCAAGCTTTGCTCCGCGCCAAGACAAGGCCACCTTGATCGAGCAAAGCGAATCTGTGGCTACCTTCTGAAGATGAAAAATGCAGCCATTAGATTCCGAACCGGGCTACCAGACTACAGTGATGTAACTGAGCCAGTCTATGACTGGGCAGACTCAGTATATGGCTGTCCTACCGAACAGATCCCTACTGATGCACCAACACCGTTGGGCAAATCAGTGATCTTGACTCACTACATGGACGCCAACCTATTCCACTGCATGTTGACTGGTAGATCCGTAACAGGTATTCTACATATGATTAATGGAACACCTATTGATGCTATTTCGAAGAAGCAAGCTACCTTGGAGACTGCCACATACGGCTCCGAATTTGTCACAGCCCATACCTGTGTGGAACAAATCATGGACCTACAGTTCACACTGAGATACCTTGGTGTTCCTATTCAGGGACGTAGCTACATGTTTGGAGATAATGAGTCTGTTGTTAACAGCTCATCTCGACCAGATGCAAAATTGCACAAACGACATGTCGCGTTGTCGTTTCATCGTGTTAGAGAGACTGTAGGATCCAACATGCTTTCCTTTCTACACATCGATGGTGTTCACAAAACCCGGCTGATACCCTAAGCAAGCATTGGGGGGATCAACAGTATGTACACTACTCTTTTGGGTAGGTGACACAGCTGGCGAGGAATAGGTCCTCAATCACTCACCCATTTGGGGAGTGACAGAATTGTATCAAGAACAGGTTCGTGATTCCGACCTATACAATTCAATCATCAGCGGTCTTATGGGTCCTATAGTAATTACTAGTAAAATAGATATATGACGTGTCATGCAATGCACGGATTGTATAGGTAAAACACAAATCTCACTCCTGTGCGAGCAACACTATCTTCCTCTCCTGAATCAACTGCCACATCTTTGTGTGCATTATCATCATCCTCTGGGCTGTAATATTCAGACAACTCACCTTTTGCCAAATAGTAGTTGGATACTTTTGCGACTCTTGTCATAAGTGCCACAGTCAACTTCTTCGGAATTGCCCTGAATGGCATTCAGTGATTTGAACCCAAAACAACGCTTTTAAATGTTGATTATTTTGTTCTGCCTTTTGGATCATGCTCGCCTCTGCTGGCGTAGCTCATGTGAACTTCAAGTTCATCTTTCACGGGTTCAAATACCAGACGGAACTCCCCATCGCAATAAATCTTTTCCACCGTGATGTCATGTGCATTATATAGTTGAAAGTATTTACCGATTGTGTCATACCATGCCGTCTTGGATCTTGATGCCAAAGGTATGTAGCATTGGTATCTCACACTCCCATCAATGGTCATGAGTCCAAATGAATTGTTAACAAAAACAAGATCAATATGCAACACAACACTCAGATTGTGCATTAACAACTCCTTTGGAATTTCTATCCAATCATCCCGCACTCCTTCAGGCATGGGACGCTTGGCCTTCCCTTTTAGGACCAAAGAAACAAGGGGTTGTGAAAGAAGTTGGTGAATGAGCTGCAGCTCAGTTGCAGCTCATTCCTTTTGAAAGACTGCTCTGTATTTGACAAGAGTGAAATTGAAAGTCTAGGAATAGATAGTTATTAAGATTAGAAAGGCACACGGCTCTTCCACCTGTAACACTCATCATCATGACCATTACGGACTTCACCGTGCGCAAAAAGAGCTACCGCTATCTCACCACCCAAGCAAGCTACCCAAACCATGATTTCAAGGCGGTCCTCAATGCCTTTGATCCCACCATGGACCTTCAGTTGCAAGATCTAAACAGCCTAGTCGAAAAGGGCGTACAAGGAGGCGCCCCCGCCTGGTACGCAGGATGGCCCAAGGAACAGGTGAACAACTTTAATCTTTGGCATCGTCCAATGATTAGATACACAACAGTTGGCAAAAAGAAAGAACAGCTTTTCGATAAGCTATATGTGCTGGACCACGACGTTCTGGAGAATGGGGGCAACCCACTGGCAATCTCTTGGCCGGCAAAGGCCTTCTAAAAAACCAATCTGGTTAAGGTTCTAAAGTTGGAGGCATGATTGATAAAGGAGGAGCTCGACCAGGATCACTCCAAGTTGTTCGTGATGGAGGATATCACTGACGAAGATCCTGAGATGGCATACGACCTACTGGTTACACGCAAGCAAATGCCCATTCCCAAGGGATTTTGACTCATCTCCCAGTCTAAAAAGCGAGTTGTGACTATGCCCACAAATCCAAATGTGCCAAGACACAGCATTCACGCCTGCCCCCCTCTATTCTGATGCATACCGAACTGACGCACCAAAGAGTCGGTCCAATCTGCTGGATAAATGAACCCATCTTGGGACGAAACTCCATCACTTGCAGAAAGTTAATGATGCACAAGTTGGACCAACCTTGAACAAGTTTTTTTCCAAATATGGTGTACCGGAGCACCTTACGATGGATGGTGCACCTGTCCAGATTGGACGGAAGACTACATTTATGGATACAATTCGTCAATGCAATATCGACCATCACATTTCCAAACCTTACACTCCAAAAGAAAACCCGGTGGAAGGTGGAATTCGATAATTAAAACGGAGGTATTATCGATTGATCATCAAACACGGTATCCCTGAACGCCTTTGGGAGTTCGTCTTAGACTACGTGGTTGACACAATGAATGTTACAGTCAATTATTCAAAGTACTCTGATAAGTAATGGTGTCTGACTCCGTTCTTGTAATGTTTCATCCTATCTAAGCAACCAACAAACTTCAACGGAGACTTTGATGTGCAAAACTATACAACAAGCCTACGACAAGATCTATTCGACAATACTAAATCTCCATTGGAATTTCAATTGCTGGCTTTTTACATGCCATTCGACAACAGTGAAACAGCTCAGCAACAACCCTGGCTTTGCTTGACTTGTTGTCCCCTGAGTGGAAGACTCTTGCCACCTTGTGCCCCAGAAGCTGTAGGCTGTGTTTTCATTCGGGCCTTGATTTGACTTGCCATTGTGAGGAAAGCTTGTTCAACATTGGTGGATGTCTTTGCAGATGTTTCTAGGAATTCAATACCGAGGCTATCAGCAAACTCCTTGCCCTGTTCAGTTGATACAACGCGCTTTCCCGTCAAATCTGATTTGTTTCCAACCAAGAGTTTATTAACGTTTTCGGCAGCATATCTGTCAATTTCGTGCAGCCACTGTTTCACATTGTTGAATGACTCCTGATCTGTAACATCGTAAACAACAATAATTCCATGAGCGCCGCGGTAGTACGATGAGGTGATAGTACGGAATCGCTCCTGTCCGGCAGTATCCCAGATCTGGAGTTTGATTGTTTTCCCGTCAAGCTCGATAGTTCGGATTTTCTGTTTTGAGCATCAGGAAAGAGGGAAGTCAGAATGTCGCAGATGAAGCCGCAAGTATAGTGCAGAACGATTCAAGATCAGGGATGCAACTTACAAAATCCACTCCAATCGTAGAGATGTAAGATTCGGTGTACGTGTCGTCAGCAAAACGAAGCAATAAACAAGACTTTCCGACCCCAGAGTCTCCAATAAGAAGAAGTTTAAAAAGGTAATCGCTGTCGTATCATCAGCAATGAGAGAAAAAATAAATTAGAAATAGCGGACAACGAGTGAAACAGCTAACGCAAGAAATCACAAATCAGCAGTGTGAAACATCCCCGCCGATTGGCTGCGCCAATTTTCCTTCCTCTTTGTCCTTTACATAGACTTCTTTTTACGAAAGAGCTAGATTTGTATCAGTCAGTTCCAATCGCAATTTTGGTCATTACAGATTGAGGAATCACATTGAATCAATTGCAAGAGGGCTGTCTTCATCCCTCGTATCAAGAATACTTACTACTCTGGATTCATGCCTATGGTAGTTTTTTGGTGGAAAGGGAAAAAGTTCAATTGTACCGGTAGTGGCTCAAGCTGTTGTGGAAACAAAGTATGCAACGAAACTGATAGAAGACGTGGACAAACGCGAGCCGATCATCTGAACCTTTTCTATTTTCGGCGTGATTCAACCAGCTCTCCTTGGGGGAGGGGAAATCGGTATACTCTGAGTAGTGGGCATGATACCGCACGTTGAATATTTTATCCAATACGAATAAATCCAAATGTTCTTCGTCTCCGTAATTTTTTAATTTAGGAAAAACGCGTGCATAGCACCACTCAATCGAAATCGTACGTGTACGTGCGCTTCCCATCTGAAGGCACGTGCATAACAAATCATCGCCCAAACAAACAACAAGACAAGCCACATCACGACAGGACAAATATCACATTTGCTATTCCATTCTTCGATCTGTGTGGTTTCAATCCAGTTGGAAAATTGAACTCCTTTGTGGCTCTTCCCATCAGTAGTAGTGGCATATCCAAATTCCTCAGAGACAGGCTCCTCCATTTTCTTCCACAAAGTCTAGCTTTTTACACTTCTGTCTCTCATACTTCCATTGCGCAAGTGACAAACAGTGTGTAGCTACGAAAGTTTTGATTTTGATGTTCCAATTCCTCGCCTTTTACTAGGTTGGAGTCTTGTTACGGTGAAGTGCTATGAATGTCAGGACAGTCTGCAGGTAGGATATGCACTGCTACCAATGGATCTATTACATTCCATTGTGACTTGAGTGCTAGTATGATGAAAAGACTACTAAGACCGGGAGTTGGACAACGGGATGGCTGGTGAACCCAACGTATTGTACCCAGATGATTGTAATCTAGAAATATTGCATGGTTACTACTTGAAGGCTAAGACATAAGAACTGTTGGGATATGACGAAATGTGAGTTTTTCGTTCCAAAAAGAAACTATTCAAGTATGGAGTTTTCGACACGTACGATCGGACTTTGATCATGATGTCGGGATTCGACGCAAGTATGCCGGACGCAAGTCTGTCGGACAATCTACATCCACACAAAAAGGGAATGACCCCATACAAGTGAGATATCGGTGTTGTGTACAATGCAGTAGGGAATAATACAAGAGGCCCCAAAGTACTGCATTCAACACAGAATTGTCGTAGAGGTCGAATCAAGTTCTGTAAACAAGGGATTTTCCAAGGGAAAATTGTTGAACTTACTTTTGTGATTGAATCATCAATTCAAGCCAACTATGAATCAAATAGGAACTGTTGGGATATGACGAAATATGAGTTTTTACGTTCCAAAAAGAAACTATTCAAGTACGAATTTTTCGACATGTACGATCGGACTTTGATCGTGATGTTGGGATTCGCCGCAAGTATGCCGGACGCAAGTCTGTCGGACAAACTACATCCACACAAAAAGGGAATGACCCTATACAAGTGAGATATCGATGTTGTGTACAATGCAGTAGGGAATAATACAATATGT